ACTAGAAAAGACCAAGAGAGCTGGAGACTGTTTAGCCTGGAGAAGAGAAGACTGAGGGGGGATCTCATCAATGTATATAAATATCTGAAGGGAGGCTGTCGAGAGGATAGTGCCCAGCAACAGGACAAGAGGCAGCGGGCACAAACTGGAACACAGGCAGTGCCCTCTTGAACCTGAGGAAAAGCTTCTTTCCTGGGAGGGTGACAGAGCACTGGCACAGGTTGCCCAGAGAGGCTGTGGAGTCTCCATCCTTGGAGACACTCAAAACCTATGTGAACAGGGTCCTGGGCAACCTGCTCCAGGTGACCCTGCTTGAGCAGGAGGGTTGCACTAGACGATCTCCAGAGGTCTCTTCTAACCTCAACCATTCTGTGATTCTGTGGGAAAAAAACAAAAAAAAAACCCTTCTCCTTCAGCAAGCAGTGTCAAATAAAAAAGTGGTAACATCCTCTTCTTTGATATTCAGAGCTAGACAGAGAGAAGTGGATAAACTGTATTTATTTGCATGTATCTTCAGCTGCCTCCACTTTTCTTTCATATGACATGAATACCTGGAAATGGAAATTGTTTTTATGTTAAAGTAGCAGGTGCTTCCTCAGCTGTTACAGGTTCTGCCAATCTAGTCCCTTCTGTCTCGTAACACCTGGGATTATTTCAGGGATTGCTCATTTGTCCAGGATCATGCATGCAAACAACCTTCAGGAGTTTGTATTCATTGTTCCAGATTATGTTCTCCATCTCTGTCTGTTGTGTAATTTAAAGACAAGCAGCAAAACTCACCTTTCAGACCAAATTTGGTACTGAGGAGAAAAGACAAGAACTTTTGTGTCAGTGACAGTTCAGCAGATGAGCGCTATTTCCAGTGAGCATTTTATTCATACAGGTAAACACCTGGTTTTGCCAGAAGCATTATCTGCCAAAATCTTCTGCCCTCCCTACTCTGTGTGCCTTCCTGAGACCTCTGCAAGTGTTCACAATGAAAAAGCGGCAGTTGCGTTATTTGAGCTTTCATCTGTGTCCTTGATGGACATCCCCCGTCATTACCAAGAGATGGATAGAAGTAGTGAACTCAGACAGGATGTTCCACAGCCAGAAGCAAATATGTATACTCAGGGGGAGATCGTAGCCATGTGGCGAGAGCAGGCTAAATGGCACTATCCTGTCATCTTCCCTGAGGCTTCTTCCTCTACTGAGCTCCAGTGCTATTTTGTGGTTCTCTGATAAGACAAGAAAAGAGATTCAGTCATAAAGGAATCCACACAAATAGGTCCTTTTCACAGATGCAGTCTTTCTAGAAGTGAATTCCAAATGAGTTGAATGGAATTGAGTGAACTGGAATGGAAGTGAAATTAATTCTATTTGGATATTCATGATGATACATGTTAACTGTTCCCCCAGTAAGACTAAACAAAGACATGCAAGTTTGTTTGATCACCTTGTACAGAAGTAGGTATCTGTAATGTTCAGGCATTATCATCCCTGACATTGAGACAGCTGTTCAGCCACCCTATCCATCTCTACTCTTACTACTTCAAGAGGCTCTGCATAGCCAGGATTCAGCAGTTTGAATAAGGCGCTAGAACTAATTCAGATCGTTCTTGAGCAAATTAATCTGACTACCTGACTGCTAGGACGTAGGAGGTAGAAGGGAGATACCCTCAGTGATACAAACCTGGACCACTGAATCCTGGAAGAAATCTCCATAGTAAAGAAGAGAGAGGCACATTGTACCTGCAAGATGAATGAGACCGAGCCAAAGCCACATGCTGTTGAAATGTTATGTCCAAATGCCATCTCTTAAAGCCTTTGCTGATAGATGTCAGATCCACATGCCCCAATCCCAAAAATGTAAATGGGAGCAGGAGCAGAGAAATTCCTATATATATAGAACAAGAAAAAAGAAATCTTTCCTTCTTCTATAGGAGAATCGGTAATAAACCACAAAGGAGAAGGGGAGAGTGTCTTGTGCTGCCTTCAGCCTTGCATGTCTGTTAAATATCATGACAATGGATGCACAACATATGGTACAATAACACACTGACAGTGCCCTGTGGTATGTAAGCTGATGCAAGCAGGTAGATATGTTTAGGGAGGCTTTTTTGGAGTTTCAAAACAGGCATGGCCCAGGCATATGGAAAGAACAGGGTAAGAGGACAGTGAAAGAAAGGGAGAGGATTTGCTTTCCTACAGAATATGATTCATAGATTCTGTGGTGGTAGGATGCCATAAAAATCTATGCCTGTAAGACTTCTACCCTCAAAGCATTTATATCAGGCAGAAGTGTAATGCGGGAAGATGAGGAGGGCAGGCCACCAACTCATGTGTCATGGTGTAACTCTGATTACAGGTTCCAGTTATCTCTTTTGGCAGTCGCTTTGAAAGTGGTGATTAGGGCAGCTTTGGAGAAGACTAAGGTCGGAGAGGTTAGGACATGATCCTCCAGAAAGAGCGTGGTATCTTTTGCTGTGACATACATTTTCTTTAATGTTGCTACGCCTCCTGGCACACTGTCTGCACATGGGGAACAGGGAGACATTGCAACCTGACAGGTCCACAGCCTCTAACCACCAACCTGAGCCACTTATGTGTAATATCTGAGATAGGTGTTTCCCACGGGACATGGGAGGATTGATGCAGATCATCTTTCCGCACTTGTGCTGTGCTGTGCCGGTGGTGACTGACCAAGCCTCAAGATCAGCTTTGACGCAAACGTTGTGTAACAGAGAATAAGAAGGATGACCAAACAGACCTGCAGTCCAAGAAAACACTGTTTTAAATTGTGTTGGAACCCTCTACAAGCCAGACCCGGCTGAATTACTGAACCCTTTACCCCTGGTTAGGGGTGCCATCCTGGAGAAATAAACCCTGCCTTTCAGTATTGACCTCGGATGTCTTGGCCTGAGCTGTACAGCCGGGAGCCTGGCAATGATTTACGGAGGATTTCCTGTCCTTCAAGTGTCCACCTGGCTGGGGATGGGAATGGGCAGGGCTGGCAGTGGTGTGGGTCCCTTCCTCTCCTTGTATGTGAAATGGTGGCCTCAGGGTAGGGGAGGGAAACCGTGAGGCCAGCTGCGGGGCGGAGTGCCCTTCAGAGCAGGGCACAGGGCAGGTGGCTTCAGCAAACTGTGCTCTGACATGCCTTAGAGGTTGAAATGATCCAGGTATGATTGAACCCTGCACTTCTGCCAGCCTGTTCTCCCACCAGTGCAGTGCAAGCACACTTCAGCAGATACCAGCTTTGCTGCTGACACTGGACTGTCACTTAGTTAATGGCTGCTACTGAGAGCCACCATGTGAGGTAAACACAATATATGGCCATGCAGTCTTATAGTCAAGTGCTGGGTAGTACAGATAAATTAATGAAGCTGTGAGTCGCATAGAAGGGCTGTTCTTTGCCCTTGCAGAGTGATTTATACTGTTGTCCAGCCATGCATGGTAGACTACCCAGCTGGCATACAAAATCTCCCATGGATTTTGTGGCATGTGTTACTACCTGAGGCCTCACGTTTTGCAAATCTGGTTGCGGAGAAGCACTTGTATTAGGCTATCTAACCAAGCTCACTAGGAAATATCCCACACAGTGTTTAGCAATGCCCACCTGTCCACCAAGAATCCCTCCCGCTCAACATCGCTGCGTGTCGCAACGATCTGGATCTATAGCGTAAGAAATACTCTGCTACTCCACATAATCTAAGCGTTTTGTGAGTGTATGCTGTGTGATTTTTACTCATGGAGTAAGACTGAGATCCTTCTAGATTCCCTTTGTCTGTTTTTGTTTTTTTTATCTTAGAGATGGTTTAGGTTGAGTGAGCTTAGTAAGGCTTACATTGCTATTGACCTAAATAAAGCATCAAAATAGCTAGAAATCCAAGCATCTCTCCACTCCTATTTAAAATTTTCAGATCAGCTGTTTTGGTCCTATTTCTGTGCATCAATATTCGAGGTGCAGTGACAAAATATGTGATTTCATTGCGGTATGTGCATTGCTTGGGTGCTCAGTGTACTCGGCTTCTCAGCAGATCCACAACACATGCAGGCGATGACAGAATCTCAGTAGGATCTCAGGCGTTACCACCTAAAATAGTCTCATAGCATGCCTTGTGAATGTTTGCAATTGAAAAACATATTGGCATTGTGTAATGCAGAGAAAAAAGAAAATTTCAGTGCTTTCATTCTAAAATTAATATAATTGTAGTTGAATAAAAAATGCATCTATAAGATCAAGATCTGAAAATTTGGGAATTTGAATCCTTCTCAATATCTGAACATTGTGTTAAATGTATTTGCTATGAAATCTTCATAGCAAAGTTCAGTTCTTCAGTTTTGATTAGTTGGACCTCAGCTTACCTCTATAACGATTTTTTCTATTCCTCTCCATTCCTCTGAACCACAAAAGTATTTTTTCTCATTGCTGTTCTACAGTAATTTATCTCTACACTTGAAAATAGTTTTTATATTATTTTTAACAGCCACTACTATTCCTTTTTTACTGACTGTTTGTGGGTTTTATTGGAAGCTGAAAATACTTCCTGTAAATCGCTTCCAGAGAGCAATCCTCAGCGAGTCATCCATACTGCTAGCATCAGCGCAATACCATAAGTTAATTTACAGGAGGATAACCTGACAGGCTCTGGGACTGGTAAATTCTGTTTAATCTTAAATGAGATATTAATTTTATGTAGTTTTACTCTTCACATTGACGTTGTCTTTTGCAAACCATAATCATTTTCCTGTTGCTTATAATACTATAGTGCTTTTAGTAAGGGCTGATCTGTAGAAACAGAGGGAGACATAGTCCCTTCGTGAAGACTTACTCTTTACATAGACCAGACAGAGAAAGGGGACCCTAAAGAGTAACGTGATTTCCCAAAGGTCACACAACAAGCCGTCAGCAGAGTGAAAAGTAGACTCCAAATCACCTGAACCTCGTTCTAGCATTGTATCCAGTGGACCATACTGCTTCTTAATATGTTGCTGTTCTTATTGTTCTTTCTTTATAGTTCGGGATCGGGTACGATCAAAAATGGAGAGAGATATTTTGGCAGAAGTGAATCATCCTTTCATAGTCAAGCTTCATTATGGTAACTATCATAAAATATAAGTCATATTTGTTCTTAAATTGGTCGGGGAATTGTAACCAGGTATGTTATACTTTCATACAGATACCCCCTGCCTGCCTATGGCTCTATCTCTAACAAAATCACAGGGGTTACCTGTGTGAAATACTTCAATTATGCTAAAGGAGGATTTCAGAATAAGTAGGTCTTAGCCATTTCTCTATCAAAATACATTTGATATCGTGTTATATATTGTGCTGGTGGGATAGTGGGAAAGCTGGTGAACATACATCTGCCAACCCCCTTGCCCACTATCAGATATCATTTAGGAAACCAGAGAATCTAAATAAAAGCTATTTTTAATAATCAGCATCAGTTGGAATTTGCATACATGAATCTGATGTCTTGTTAGAGTTGCCTCCCTCAGCCTAACCAGCTCCCTGAATTCCTGAGGAGTCCTGTTGTTAGTGTAAGGGGTCTTCTGGAGACGTTTTGGATAATGCAGGCACTCCCCTCACACAGATCTGGGAGCTTCTCTCTATGCCTACCCCTCGGTTTCTCCTGGTATCTGGCACAAGGGAAAGCAACAGTAATTCATAGGTGCTTAGACTAGAAAAGAACATATTGATAACGCATCTTTGTCTCTCAAATGGTTACATTTTTTCCCCATAGCCTAAGCTAGATTGCTTAATTGTGTAGAGATGTTAAATTTTTCTGTTCTCTAAGTAAAGCACTGAAATGACAGGAGAACTAGTAGCATGAATGACGCAGTTAGTTAACAAGATTCATTCTTTGAAGACTTTATCTTGATTCAGACTTCCAACATCTCCATCCTTTTCTAATGCAGCATTTCAAACAGAGGGGAAGTTGTATCTAATACTAGATTTCCTGCGGGGAGGGGACCTTTTCACAAGACTCTCCAAAGAGGTAAGCTGATAGATCTTACTTCAGAAATCAACAGCTATCCTGGATTTTCAGAACTGAGATGAAATTGGTGGGAGTGGCAAAGGGCTTTGGGAATAGTTCTGCTATATATGTATGCAATAGAGCTGTATCATCTTGCATCTCTAGGTGGATTCTTAATAATTATATTTGAATTATGCTGTAAATGCAGTGGAAAGCATGTAAGCATCACGGTTGTAGAAAACTGCACTATTTACTAAGTCATTCCCACAGCAAAATAGCCACAGACTCATTGCTCACAAAACATATGTTGGCTGTTATGAGAATTAGTCTGAGAAATCTCTCCCCCGTACATTTTGCCTGTGTTTTTAGAGCACAGAACTGCTCTAAAACTTCAGCTGCTGGCAGCAGAAAGCAGAGGTGGCCATAGGTCGGAGGCCGCCCGGGGCTCTGGGTGCAGCAAGCACTCGGGCTGGCCAGGGCATGACCTGGTGAACGGGGAGAGCGCCATCTCCTGCGGCAGCCGCTGGGAGCGCGTCCGAGGCCACGCGCTGCCCCAGGGTTCCCAGTTTGGCTGTCACGACAGCTCACCTGCTCTCTCCCCTGCTTGCTCAGGGGCAGCTACTGTTTTCGGCATGTCCCGTGGCTCCAGTCTGTCCCCTGTCCTCTGTAACCCCTGCCTTCAGGGAGATGCTGGTGCTGACAAAAAAGGAAGTCAGGAAGCAGTCCAAACTTGAGTCTCACTAATGCCGGTAGAGAGGGGCACGGGTGGGTTTTCTGGGTTCATTTAGCACTCAGCTGCTTCTCCAAATGCCTCTTCAGAGTCAGCTATCTGCATTGCTTGCAGCAGCACAGCTACCCGAATTTCACTTCAGAGAGTCTTCTAGATGGTAAGGGTGGCACTCGCAGAGGCAGCCCTGCCGCCCCCCAGGACAGCAGCCCTGGAGAGGCGTTTGTGGTCCTGGAGCCTTGTGCGTGCCCGGCAGGTCACTGTTTACTGTCACTTAGTTGAGGCCCCTCAGCCCCTGGCCTCCTTATAGACTGGGGAGACAGGAGGGGCGAGGAAGCACCTGACGTAACATCTGTAAAAAATAGGATAGGGATGTTTCAAATGCTGTCTTGAGGCGAAGCTGTGTTTGCGCTTCTTAGTTTGGGAGTTACTGATGGAATAAAAAGGTGTGGAAACAATAATTCAAAAGTTCCCGAGCCCCGACGCCAGTCCCCAGAGCAGTGGCAGCAGTTCCTGTTTCTGTGACATGCTGCAGACTGTTTGGAAGTGGTTTGCATAACTAACTGCTGTGTGTGCTGCAGGTCAGGAGCCCTTGCTTTCCATACTTGTTTGCCAGTGTGAGAAAACATAGCATGTAATTACAATACCAAGTAATGATATTTGCATAGGTTCTTAGTATATGGCAGCAGTTACTTTTAATTGCAGGGAAGAGATTAAAGGAAATAAAAATATTTTTCTCCTGTTTGCCACGAAATCAGTCTTTGTCGATGACATAGCATGCTGTCTTAGAAAGGACCTCTGAGGTTTGATAGGAGAAGAGAGAAAAAGTCGTTCTCATCTACCAAGTGTAGTTATACATTCTGTACAATTAGACGACTTTAAAGCTAAAGAGAACAGCTCAGATAACATACTCTCTTAAAACATCGTTTGTTTCCAAACCTTTTCCAGTTAAATGCTTTGATTTCTCTGCTTTATACTATCAAGAATTGGTCCTCTGTAACTTGACAGTCCTGACACAAACTTCTCTTTTCAGTGTCTGCAACTCATCCTATCTGCCTATAACTTGTAACTGCTAGTGCCAAGGTATCACAAGGAAAGACATTATAGGAAAACTTGTTTGTACAGGCTGCAATTATTAATTATGGGCTTGTTCCAACTGTATTGATTTCAGTGGACTTTCAGTCAGATCCCTTATACTGCAGCATGTGTACATGCAAAGCTCTGTTTCAGGTTTACTCTATGTTTCTGAGATGTCCGACTTTAGTTGGGAATGTGTATATAGATCAGATTTTTGCTGATTCTACGGATTTTATGTCATGCCTACATTATTTATTTTAAACATTATCAATAATTTACATTTATTTAGATATTTAACAACATTTTAATGTTCCAGACCAATTAATTTTGTAATCAAAATTGTTACTTATGTATCCTTATTCCTTCTAGCCTTTACAGATATTCTTAATTAAATTGTGTGACACCTGTCTGTTCTCTGAATCCTCTATTTTTGTTCTCAGCCTTCTGCAACTTCTCAAAGCACTCAAATATTGTGGCTGCTGCTTTCCAAGAGCAGAGGCTTAATTTTAAAAAATAAGCTGTGCAGTTTCTACTGTAGATATTTGCATTTACATATGATATGTAGATTTTTATTGAGATGACTCATTTTACTTCTCTCATACGTGATATTCATGCTTGTATGTCCAATATATAAGCTTCTCTTTTTGCACTGTTATTTTTGAATGTGTTGAACTTTAGTTAAAGAGAAGTTAATATCATCTGGGATATACTTAAAGTTAACTAAAGGGTTTTCTTGCCATCTGAGCTCAGTTTTTCTGGGCTTATAGTTTTTTCCATTAGAGAAGTTTCTTCCCACCTAAAATGGAGCTTTCAGTGTTTGTGGTAGCCGTATCGGCTATAGAAAAGAAACAACTGCCATCAATTTGCATCTCATTAGGCCCCATATGTTAGATAGCACATTATTGCTTAGCATATCTGCACTCACATAACTAAGGCCCAGCCCAAAGTCCTGCATCACATATGCTGCATCTGCCTTTGGCCATTCCCAGGTTCCCTTTCAGAGCAAGTCTATTTGTTTTCTCAAAGCTAAAACAAAATCGTAGTTCTAGAAACTCTTTTGCACAAGGGCTGCTTCTTACAGATGTTACGGACAAGGACATGACCGAGTTGTTTCCCTCACAGTCCTCCAGTACTGTCCCAAAAGGCACTCCCACACATTCTCATCTGATAAGCCAGGTCACTTAACACACAGCCTAATGTCACCCTGCGAAAGTACCATGCTGAAGAACACTGGCACGCTACGATGTCAGATATTTTGACCTGAAAAAATATCAACAAAATCTGTATCTCGAGACTCCAGGAGCATGGGGGAGACTGTCTGTATCTCAGGATACAGGGTGTAGGG